TTTGGTGACTTTCAGACAGCATCTCTGACCAATGGGTAATAACTACAGCATAATGCACCTGTGTGTCTCAAACCCCCGATATTAAAAAGGCACAGTGTCATCAGGAATCATGAAGCTATTAAAACTTTCTGACAAGAGTCATTGGGGTCTGGGGAGATAATGTGTAGGAGCAGTGGTCTCTCCTTGCCTCACTAATCCTGCTGATAATCCTGCCTTGCTGCAGGCTAGGACAGAAGCCAGTTGCAGTACAATGTGGCATCAGGATCTCTGCTCTTCCTCCACCATCAGGTTTTTACCCCTCCTCAAAAGACCACTACCAGCTCAGACAAGTGCTATTTTACCCAAGTATTTTTATTTCCTGCTTTATTTCATTCTCCAAATAGAGAAGCAAATAGCTCATGGCAAGCTGTGCTGCCCAGATATGTAATGTCCTCCTGCCTTTCTTATTTTATCCTTTTTTGCTACAGGGATGTCTTCAAACCCTTTCTCCCAGTGAGAGTCACTCCTCAAATCAATGTCTTCTCAGTGTTCTTTACAGGGGAGGTGACAGACAAGGACCAAGCCATGTAGTGGCACTAAAGCAGGTGAGGCACTCAGTTTCACCAGGACTATGTGATTTTGATTTAAGACTAGACCTTGCCATTTGGAGACTAGCTCAGATAAAATAAGTTTATCAAAAGCTCTGAAAATTCAGGTACAAATGGGTTGACAGCCCAAGCTGCCAGGAATATTTTTTACATATATCTGGGATGATTGATTGTTCTGGCTCAAGTATGGCAAGGAAAGATACAGTAAACTCTTGGAAGCATAGAACACAATAAGAGGGAGGAAGCAGATGTCCTAAAGAGATAATCTGAAGTCTCCCAGCCAAAGTCCATCCCAAATTCAGAAGCCAGTACTCCTCAGTATCTGACTTAAATTTGATCCTAATTATCTTGATGTGGGTTACTATGTAATTCAGAAATACATGGTATGTCCACAGGTTGGACTGGTTAGCATTGTACAATCCTGAGGTGTATCAGAAACACCTTCTCTCAAAATCACATCACAAGACTTCTTTCAAGAAAGATCCTTGAGCCACTATTTTCTTCAACCTACTCATACCAGTGGAAAAGACTCAACAACTTTGAATATAATCAAATATAACATTAATTTTCAACACCTTCACAATGGGATTACTGAGTTCTTATAGTTGAAAGATAAAAGAGAGTGGGAAAAGAGAGACCTGGTTCATTAAGGACATACTCATCTTTTATTGTCTCCCAAAACACATGATGAAACACAGCTGCAGTACTGTATTTTTAGTTCCATCTCTATTTATACAATTATATGGCTGGATTTTGAAACTGTAAATTTTCTGTTACAAATTGCATAATTTAGTTTTGCATTGGGGTCATTCACAGTTCTATTATGCAAGTGACAGGTGTGGGAATCAAGCAGAGCACAGAGCTTGTGGTAAGGGGACTGCGAAGCAGCGTTGCAGGCGGAGCACCAGATGCTTTCATCTGCCCAGGCCAGCTGTGACATTCAATAGAAAGGCAAGTGTGTGTATCACCCCATCTCCCCTCAAGTCAAAAGCACTACTTAGCAACCCTGGGCACATCTGTTCCCAAGGACTCTGATTACTTCTGTCCTCCTAGGGGTCAGTAAGGTCACAGGAGTCTTCAAATCCATTTTGGTCCATCTTTATGCAATAACATTGTCATGTTACTGTACCATATGTACCATACATGACTCATTTACAAAGTGAGTCATTTACAAGACTTGGTTTTTGACATGAATTAGAATTTACAACCAAAAATCTGATATCCTGCAACAGGTAAGCACTGCTCTGAATAGACAAACTTATCTTCTTGGAACACACTAACTCTTTCACAATTATTTTTCCTCAGAGTTGATGACATTTCATGATACTAAATTGCAGTAAGAAATGCAGCCTTTTCTGCAGGGCAGTATATGATACTCTACTTCCTACTAGTCTAAATTAAAAACCAATCTTTTAATTTGAAATTTTAGGAAAACTACACAGAATATTAATTAGTCAATCTGGAACATAGCCAAGACACCAGAGTTTAACAACCTTGCTCTTGTAAAAAGCAGCAAAGCACATTTTTCCTATGACACGAGAAGCTGAGGATCTTGCAAAAGAATGTCCATATGAATACAAAACAAAGTGCCATACTGGGGCTTAGTTTCATTAGTTCCTTTTGGGGATGATGGTAGGAAACCAAACCAAATCAAACCAAGCCAAACCAAATCAAACCAAACCAAACCAAACCAAACCAAACCAAACCACAAAGATTAACTACTAGAAACAATAATACCCAAAGATACTGTATTTAAAAAAAAAAATCTTTAATTGTATCCAAATTGAGTAATAATTGGAATTTGATATTGTAATTAATAAAAGAAAAGGCTCTTTTCAAACAAAGAATTTCTGGTAGGAGAAAAGCCCTATACAGTAGCTATTTCTAATATGTGATATGTGAAAACAAGGGAATCACAAAAAATTATTGAAAACACATATTACATACATCCAGCTTATTGATAAAATACACAATTCAAATGTAGAGAAAAAAAAAAAAGCCAGTCATTTTAATTCCAGGAATTTTGAACTGATAACAGATCTTCAATATAGATCTTAGATAGACCTCTACATCTGTTATTTATTAGGATTTTTATGGACACATGGAAATGCATTAAAAATGAAAGACAAACCAAAAAAAAAAAAAAACAACCAAGTAAATGAGCCAATCTGTATTTAAAGATTAGACCACCATTCTGGTAGTGTTAGCATATCACCCAACCATGGTCCCATCTGCTCTCATGTGTTTTCTGGGTGTGTTGCTTCTTCACGGATTGGAGAAGTAACATTGCAGTCTCCTAAGATACACACACAAACTTCCCCCATCCCAGAATCCCATATTTCATAAAATAGAGCTCTCAATATTTTTTTCATTTGGGGTATTTTTTTTTGTTTGTTTGTTTTTTGGGGTTTTTTTTGTTTTGTTTTTTAGGAAAATCTGTTCTTTGGTTCTGGTTTTAAAAGCAAGAACTTTGCTTGAATGAGTCACATTCTGGGAATGAACATTTGAACAGCTGGAATGTTCCTACAGGAAATTTTTTATATATCTATGAAAGAAACCAGGCATCTTCTCCACCTTGTTCTTTCATTTTCCCTATGAGGTCTTCATACCTGCATGAATAGTAGAATTTCAAGCTGAACAGCAAAAATGAGTTCATGTCCTAACATTTAAATGAACTTCAGTTCTGAACTGTGAAAATGTATTAATGATAATCTATTTACTCTTCAGGATATATGAAAATTAATAATTACATTAGTGACTTTTGCAAATCTCAACAATGAACACTAAAAAAAGCCAATGAAAAACTCAGGATTTCTATAGTCAAAATAAGATCATAATAGCATGAAGTGAACAAAGCACAGGCTCACTTGGTAAAAAAACAAAAAGAAAAAAAATATAACTGAAGTACTGCTCACTGGAGAGCCCATTCTAATCATCATACCAGATGAGTCAAGATTCCTTCAGGAAAAACTACTGCACACTCATGTCATTGAAGTCTGAATCATAATGCACCCTTATAAGAGGGCTGAAAACAAAGTGCTCTGGTTGTGACGTTTCCTAACATTTGAGCTCTTGGTTTCAAAACCTTCCTAGTCATTTTAAGAGTTTGCCATCATGATCTTTGATTTTAATTTCTTCTTGTTTTGGATGACTAAATAAGGTTTCTCAAACTGCACATCTGAAAGCAGTGGTTATTTTTAAAATTGTTCTCCTTTTATATAGACAAGCTGTTAGTGCACCCAACAATTATATACATTCCCCATCATTGTAAGATTTTGTAATAATATACAATACAAGAGAGCCAAAATTAGTATACTAATGATTCAATTTGACAGTTTCATTATGCATAATGTGGATAAAACTGAGAACTCTTTTAAATTACTCCTGTCATATTCTGAGAAAGACCACTAAACCAACTTAGAATCAACTAGTTTTTGGTTTTTTGCAATAAATTTATCATAATGGTGCACAGCCATATATTTTTCTTTTTATACCAAATGTTCAGGACATTATTTTGATCTAATTATATTTCATCTAATTATAGTTCATCATGGTTAAAATATCAAATTAAATGGTATGTCACGGATTAACAGAATAATTTGATTTCTATACTGTTAATTAGAACTTACATTTACATGATTATGGAAATTTATATTTGAATTACAAAATTAATACTTAATGTCTAAAAAACTCTTCTGCCTGTTTCTAAGAGGATCTATAGAACAAATAAAATTATTAAAATACATATTTAGGCATTTAAGGTCAACCAATGGGTTTATTGAGGATCTTTGCTCTACCACAGACATAATAAAATTTAAAAACTAGTTAATAAGAAATTAGCCACTCCTGGCTAAGAAACTCAAACATGAACTTGGAACATCCTAGGGATTCTATGGCTAATTGTCTCTCTTGCCCTTCTTGTCTGATGCACATCCAGTCACTGAGACAGGAACATCCCCCGTCCCCCAGGTGCACCCACTCTGCAGTTCAGACACAAGTAGAAACAGGAGACCCTGGATGTGAGCAGGACAAGCCTTTTTCTAGGCTCTGTAGTGCAAAGCCACACATTTCTCATCACACCACCATCTTACAGGTGGGAAGGACTACACATCTAGAGAGAAAATAAGTGTTTGTGATTTCCAAGGGCAGACAAGCAAACACAGACATTCCCACCCAGAGATGCTAACAACTCCATGGACATGGGCTATTCTGGCCTGCCACAGACCCACAGCAGATGAGTTTCTGCTGCCAGCATCTGAAGATGTGCTGCTGGTAGTTGGGGAGATAAGTTATTCCATGCTGTAGTGCTGGGTGACCTGTGCTGCCCTGCAGTTATGTCTGCCCTCAATATTTAGCCAGGAGGAGATCCTTCACCACTAGCTTCTGAGCTGAAAAAATTACCAGCTTCCCTACCTTAAATGCAGCTAGTGCACGCTTCCCATGCCAGAAAGGGTGACCATGTCAACAACATAATGGTGACAGTCACTCTGCAGGCTGCAGTCAGTCACAGAGGCAGTGGCATATGACATTATGAACTGTGCAGAAATGTGCAAAATACTGAAGAGATCCAGCCTTCATCTGGACGGACAAGCAGAGATTTAGTTCCTTCCCAATGATATAACCATCAGCCCTGTATGCAGATTCAATACACAAAACAATGAAGTCCAGCATTATTATAGTGGGTGAAGAATACTGGAAAAGGAAAGAAACAAATTTTTATTTGTTAATGCATGGCAGGTTACATTTCTGTGATAAATTAGAGCCCACTGATGTGTCAAGTGACACAGTGTGTAGCTGACTATAAGAAAGCTCCACATTGTGGGGATGGTTTGGTTCTGGATCATTTTAGAGTACTTTAACACATCACAAAAGCAATTTCCTGTCCTTTCCTGCCTCTTATTTTTCCTTCACAAATTCAAGTACCAACTCACTATGCAAATTTATCTACTGCCAAGATTTAGCACAAATATCAGTTACTTGTGTACAATTGCAGAAGGGTTATAAATATGCAAAAGAAATTTAAGTACAAAAGTTTGCAAAGAAAAGAAGAACGCAAGTGGGATATTGGCTGTCATGACCTTTTTCTGAGGTTACAATCAGATTAACAATCTAGTACAAATGACACCAAAAGAATAAGAAACATATTAAATTTCCTAGTCCTTTTTTATTTCCTTTTTTTTTTTAACAAAGGCAGGATATCTCATTCAATATCAATTGAAAGAAAAAATCACTTCCATTAAGATGATGTGTTTTTCTTTTGCTATTGCACTAGACTTCTCTGAATTCCTCCCAGGAAAGAAAACTCATGAAAAAGCAAGATGAAAAATGTAATACAGTTAAAAAATTAAAAATTAGGAGTCATCTGGTTTGGGTCTTAATTGGAGTCCTTTAAATAATACTGGTTCAAACACACCATTACTCCAGGAAACCTTGGCATTATATTACACTTTCAGAAACCCTAGAATGATAGAAAAACAGGCAACAGGTGAAAAATATGTAAATAAGTATTTTCATCATGTACTGACTGAACCAAATATCAAAGCCTGGATAGGGCTAATTAGCTACCAAGGCAGCTGTTGAAAATTTGTCCTACCTGAGCATCTCAAAGGGATTCCCACACTGAGCCATGCTGGGAGCCCAGCTCATGTCACACACCGGATCACATAGAGGAGAATCATCACCCCAGAGAGCCTGATGTCTTCCTATGTTCTCACCCCAGGTGGGACCATCTCAGATCAGAGAGAGGCTCCTTATCAGTTAGCTGGTGTAGGGATATTACAGTCTCGAGGTGAGTTTACTTGTTGGTTATACATTAACCCCCACCTCTGTTATGCCACAGGTTCTCTTGAGAAAGAGCAAAAGTGATGCAGCTATCACTAGCAGATTGCACATCTGTTTTTTTTTCCTCCTCCTCTACTTCAGTTCACACCCAAACTCTGACTGGTAAATTATGCTCAGTCAGTTGGCACCTACAGGTCCAGCGAGACATACAAGATATTTTGAATGAAAAGAATCACTGCTTTTCCTTTGAGTTGACACTGTCCTTTTTTTGGCATCCTCAGAGCCCTTCCACACTTTTCCTTGACTATACATGTTCACATTAATGCCACAGAGAAAGGTGTCCACTGCAGATCTTCCCACCTGACCACAAATGTTCAGATTGTCCCAGAAACTTATAAAATATTTTATACAGCTTGTGCTAGACTTCACCTTTACTTCTGTATGGTGTTACTGTCATGGATGCTGCAGAAGCTGCAATTAACTGTTTATATGATAAATCTAATCTTTAGATCTCAAGATCTCCCAAAAGCATAGCAGAGGTTCTGTGTTTAATGAGAACAATAGTCTGATGATGGGACCATGCTCCTCTGACCACACTGGGAATGGGATCTGCAGCATTCTCTTTTTTATCTGTGCTGTAACAAGAAAATACTGTGGTAAACAGCTTGGTAAATAGCATCTTCTCTTATTTTAGATGCAGGAAATACCCGAAAAGTCCTTAGGGTGGATATAGTAAAACTTGGGAAGCTTCCCCATAGTTTTCTTTTAAAATATTTTTTAAAGCTGTGTTGTGAAAGAATGTTGTGAAAGAATATCCTGAAAAGCAAGTTCCTTATTATGGAAATGACCATAATTTCATTTAATTATGGATAATTTCCAATAAAATTCATTTTTTTCATTGTTCACCTATTCTACTGGCATGTGTGTGAACTAATAGATGAGGGTAGTTTTATGAAATAGCATCTGTCTTATCAGAGAGAAGCCTATGGTTTTAATCATATTAAAAAATTACAGGTGTTGGACATTTCTGGTACAGATATCTGTTCTACTAGTAGTGTAGTGTCCTTTTTTCCTGGGTATTTGAACATTTTCAGTCAAATTAAGTATCTTTTGTCTCCTTATAAACAGTTGTAAGCACCTTGTTTTGAAAAATGAAAATGCCCAGATATATAAAAAGAAGGTAAATTCAATTCAGCTAGATGAAAGCTTGATTTGCTCAACTGTGAAATCTACAGGAATGTAAAAAGTAATGACCTTTATTGACAGATAAGTGTAAAAAAATGTATTCCAATTTATACACTGGAAATGCCTAAAGAGAAATAAATAAATAGATAAACATATCTATGTAAACTAATATTAAAGTACCAATAGTTCAACATATTTTGAAATGTCCTTGTGTTTTTAAATAGAATATATGCCTCTATGATGTGGTTTATATTCAGGCCCAGTGTAGATACAAAGAGCTTTGTAATATGACTATTCACACCAAAAATTAGACTATATCAAATAATAAAATTCAAGTGCCAGTCACTTTCATTAAAAAAAAAGAAAAAAAGAAAAAAAAAAAAAGCAAAATCTTTTCTTTGTCATGGTCACAGCTAAAGATTTATGCTTCTCTCTCCACCTTGCCCTCACCCCCACCTTGATTTTCTGCTTTTATTTAAAAATAAAAGATAGAACTTTCAGAAAATTACCAGAGAAATGCTGTGCCAGGTTCCAATAAAAAATAAAACGTGCCAAAATGGATTTTCAGGTCAGGAGGAAAAATATGATAATTCAGTCTGACCTTTTTCAAAACAAAGAACACAGAAAATTGGGAGGCAATAATTGCAATAAGTTATTTTTATTAAGTTTACAGTTTTGCACAATGACAATTTAAGTTTTCTCTCAGTAGTTGTACTAGGACTTTTCCACAGCTATCTGGCAATATTTTCAAGGAAAACTTGAAGGTAACAAGAGAAAAAAGGATTTCTTAGTTTGAAATATGCTGACTGTGTACCACATAATGTCATTTGACTGCCTATATCAGATATAGCTTCTCCCATTTTCTGTAAGCAATCCACAGGATAGCATTCTTCTACAATGAAAAGCTTAAATGTGCATTAGGACACCCTTCATGCCAAACACAGAGGATAAGTGATCTCTTTCATTCCTTTGAATACTCAGAATATTCCAAACAATTACAAAAAAATATAGAGAGAGTTAAATTTCTAAATAAATTTAGAAAAAAAAAATCTTTTCACTATATACTTTTTAAAAACCTGGAGCTCAGTCAAATATCACTGGAATGAGCAAATGCATTTTAAGAAAAAAATATATCTGTGTGACAATTTTGTATTTATCTTTTTCAGTTTTTCAGCTTTGGAATTTCAGTTTTCATACACATTAAAATATTCAAGTATTTTTCTTTTTAGTGATTTGCATGATTGTGGAGTTTTCCTCAGAGATAAATAGAGAAACTGTTTTCCTTGACTTTTCCAGGTAGGCTGATCATGGAAAATTCTGTTCAGGGACATTTTCAGAGATTCTAACCCCTTGAAAACCATGTTTTGACTCCTCAGGGTTATCAAACATAGCTCAGGTAGTTAGAGCTTACCCAGTGGTGATATTTGTAGGGCAGGTGACACCAAGTGGTGCCGTCACAGGCAGAGCTCCTGCTCGTGGTGTACAGCCGTGCCTTCAGCTTTGGCTCTGTCAGGCCCTGTGCAAAAGGATTCAGCTTCCTCCAGAAGCTTTTCCCTACAAGTAGCTCAGGAGTTTGTTAACTACAGGGTCACTTTTTATCACAAAGCTGCCACCTAAGGACAAGGTAGGAGCTTAGAGCTACGTCTCCCAGTGACAGTGCTGGATGGTTTTTTTTGGCCAGGAGAGGTATATTTTCATTTGGGAACAAGTTACACCTGGGACAAACCTAGATTATCTGTCACTTGGTTAGTTTCAGGCAGGAATGCCACTGCACCTCTCCAAATAGTCGCAACTCTTCATAAGCAACAGTCACACCAGTGTGCATTCCTCCTGCCTGCTTACATGCGCAAGAGCTGTATACTTTATTTCCCTTGACATGTTATATAAAGTTTGAGAGGACTTGAGTTAATTAAAAAAAGATAGTAATTATCTGTTAGGTTTAATATGAAACCTTTAGAGTGACAATGCAAAATAATTTTGCAGAAATCTCAAGACCTCCACACAAATGAACTCAGTTGATAATATTTATTGACAGAACACTAGTATAATCACATTAATATTTGCAAATTTCAATTACAGGGAGGGCATGAGCCTGTTTAAGTAGGCAGAGTTTTCCATCATGATTGAAACAAACACCAATTTATTAATTCAACTTCTAATTTTGAAAAAGGTGAAAGTGTGATGCTGCTAAGAATGATATATGATGGAGGAGATTATTTTTGCATAGATGTAATGTTATTTTCTTCCTGTGACATTGAAATTCTGTGTCAAATTCTGGGAGAGAGGAAAGGATAAGAAAGCAAAGGTCAGTTCTTATATTAATGAAAAATTGACATGGTTCACTAGCATTATGAAAGCAAGTTATACAGTATTGTGTTGTTCAATAACTGAATCTTTTGGATAAAAATTGTAATTGTGGTTCATAAAAAGAGGGGGAAGTGAAGGGTGATGAAATTACTCTTTTCTTTTTTTTTCTTTTTCAGCAAAGTTTTTCCCAAAATAAGAAAATTTACTATAATCAAGCAGAAGATTGTGACAGCAGAACTCTGTCATCCTAAGGACCCCAACCAAAACTTTTGAAAGAGGAATCTTGCAAAGAATCAAAAAACAGGGATTTTGTGATATATCCTTATATCTTCTATACAACTGTATGCTTATAGACATTAACAGAACAATTTATTTACTAAAATAAGGGTTTATTTCCTCCTGATTTGTAAATAATATAAAGCATTATCATTACTTTCTTATTTGTATTATTTGGGATGTATTTGTACCAAAATGCACCAGTGCATAATCAGAACCACTGTCTACCTCAACTAACAATCAGAGTCACCCAGTTCATACGGAGGCAATGATGTTAGACTAGGACAAGGATAAAATAAACCCTCTGAAGCAAACTGTGCCCTCCTTCTAGTCAAAGAGCAGAACTGGTGTGTTTATGCATCACACATCTAACACAAAAGCCACCATTCAGCCCCAGAAAGAATAGCTTGCAGATGTCACTGCCAGGCACAGTTTGCTGTCAATCTAAAAATATGATACATGATCTTAAAAGGAGCTGAAGAAGCATTCTAGAAACTCTTTGCTAACTAGAAAAAGGCTGGACACATGGCAGAGTGAACAAGCCTTTTCCAACTTTCTTCCTAGAGCTTGCTGGAGCACTCAGAAAAGACTGAGCAGCCAAAGAATCACTTTTCCTCACAGTCCAGGTAAACAGCATGCTGCAAGAGTTCACTGTAGCTGCCATCCTAGGCTTTTTATTTCATTCTGCTCCTGAAAGTACAACAGTGAAACACATCTGCTTTGGTATTCTTCATTAGATGTGACAAAAAAAATTCAACCAACCTACAAAACCCCCTGAGGTTGGAACCACAGCCTCATCACCTATCATGGAAGATGTCACTCTGTCTCATCAGGGTGCACAGTGTGAATGGATCTGGACTCACAGTTCCTTGGAGGGAAGATGAATATGTTTGGTGGCAGCTGGTAGAACAAGGAATATATTAGCTCATCCTCCCTTTCCCTCTGGCTCAGAAAGGCCTCCTCCCAAAGGAGAACAGCTCCAGTCAAGCTGAGTAAGAAGATGTGCTGTGAAATGGGAACAGTTTACAGCTTTTCAAAATCTGATTTCAATACTGAGAGTATAGAATGCTTAGCGTGTCTTTGAGGCTGTAAGCATGAGAGGGCTCAGATAAATCAGAAGGTACACTTGCTCAAGGCCTTGCTAAAATCTACCTCTGGGTAGCCCTTATCCCTGACGATCAGGCAGAACAGATGGCTAACGGGTTTCAGTCCCTGCCTGGAAACAGTGGGGTTTATTTTGTGCCCAAAATCTGGTCTCATTCCATGGCTGGATGCCCATTGCAATCTGCACTCTGGAAAGAGTCTGAGGGCAGGGTCAGATCAGAGGAGAT